AGGGGTGACAATACTATATTCTCAAACTTCTTGACATGTTATCACATGAATAGACAGCCATACAAAAGAACCACAAAAGCTAAATTGACTTTCCTTTTTCAGAGACATTAATACTATTAGTTGTAAAAATCATGAAGGCAGCACTTCAGTTGAATACTGTATGTATCATAGATATAAAAAGATCATAAATGGTATGTGTTGTACTCTAAGAAAGTAGCTTCATCATTTTGTGTATTATAGCAAACCTGTACCGCGGCTTACTAAATGTTTTCTTTTCTTAACTGATATGTTAAGTGACCCAATTGATATGTTGAGCAATACTCTCCCCTGTAAAGAATTGCAAGAATTTCACTTAATTGAAATGTTAATCACGGAGCGGCCCTCTACAAACAAGAAGAGTGGTGCTAAAACAAGCTAACAAGGGCTGTTAATCACGGGTAGGCGCCTCTAGTCTTCGCTAAAGAACTAAAGAAGACAAGAAGGCCCACTAATTTACACATTGTTTGAAGTAGTGTGTTTATATGCAGGGAGATTTGCCCATGAGTTTAACCTTTTTACCTAACCTTAGTTACTCTTCCCACAAGATAGATACTCGCCGTTTTCCTGTTCTGTAGCGCGCCTTATTGCCTCCCCCCACCCACCTATCTGGGCCATAAAGAATTTGGGTTTCTGGTGACCTCTCCCCGACCTGGTGATGATCTGTCATAAAATGAGCCTGCCCCAATTTTAAGAACTGTTTAGCTTCAAAGAAATTACCGGAAAATACTGTGGCCCAAACCCCGATCGGTGCTTTCCTTTTGTTCTGTATGTACCAATGGGTTAGATATCAGATCTTTGTAAAACTTAAGTTCCAGCATCTCATAACTCGTGACCCCTTCGCACTCACTGGCGAAGACAAGCTGTCCTAAGATAATTAACTCTCCACTTTCTTCCCCAAATATTGCTGCAGATGTGCCACTCTGAGATAATGTCAGTCTGCAGGATGGGAGTAATTTGAGCAACACCAGGAACTCCCGGGACTGTCAGAGCTAAGTGGACAGCAATACAGTTTCCAGATGCGGGTCAACAGGTTTAATGGCCTTACAGGTTTCCTCCCCACTTTCCCTTACTTTTAAAAACCCCTTTCCCCAGTCTTGGGCGCGCAGTCTTTGGTTTGATCTAGGAGAGACTGTGCCGCCAGGACTGGCTCAATAAAGCCTTTGCCACTTAAGTTTTGGACTCTTGTTTCCGTGGACTTTATACCGGGGCCCACGTTATAACATTTGGGGGCTCGCCCTGGATGGAAGCAAGACTCCAGACTCATTTCCGAACATCTGAAAGTAAGTGCTCTGGAGGTTTTGTTTGGGCCGCGGTCAATTTGTAATTTTGAGGGGACGCCCTCAATTTGGGAGTGGGAACCACCCGAGGACAGAGTCAGTTGGTTTGTCGGACAAATTCTGTCCATCTGTGAATCTGCCCCGGGTGAGGAACCACTCCGTTCGGAAGGGGACGCCCTTAATTTGGGAAGTGAAGCCCCCGAGGACGAAGTCAATTGGTTTTTGCCATTTGTGACTCCGCCTGGGTGGGGAACCACTTCATTAGTTAAATTTGTTAATTCCTCCAGATCCCAAAATTTGACTAATTTTTGAGCAAAGGCCATTCTGCTGCAGCTTGTCTTGTCCTGTCTCATCTTGTGTGTCGGTCTGTGTGTTCATTTGTTCTAATTGTTCCCCTTTTTGGTCACCTAACTCTAACAGAGCCTTCTTTCTTAGGAGCTCCTTCCTGGAATTCGGAGTGGGCAAAGGTGATTCCGACCGTTTGCCTAGTCTCTGTAGTTTTTCTGTTTAACCCTAACTTTGCCTTTTAAGTTTTTTTTTCCAGCAAAACCAGCGACACCACCAGCTATGGGTCAGAACGAGTCCATTATGGGTCGGAACGAATCTGTTCCCAGCACTCCCCTTAGCCTTGTCATTGACCACTTTAAAGAATTCCAGAGGCGAGGTGGGAGATATGGGGAAAGGGTTCGCAAAGCCAGACTAACAACCTTTGTCACACAGGAGTGGCCCCTGGGGACCCAAGGAGTCTGGCCCCCTTTTGGGTCCTTTGATATGGAGACAGCTCGAGCGGTCCGCCAGTATGTATTTGGGCCCCCCGCTCACCCCGATCAGATTGTCTATATCCAGGCTTGGATAGATACAATCTATGATGCTCCCCCTTGGATTGAGCCACTTCCGAATGGAGTCCTAGCAGCCCTCAAACCGAAATCCAAGGCTGAAGAGGAGACCTCCAAGCCCAACGCACCTCCAGTCTTACCTCCAAGCGAAGACTTCTCCGACCCGCTAGACATCCTTCCCTTACCCCCTCCCCCGTATCCTGCCCCTGAGCCACAACCTGACTCCACCTCGCCCTCCCCGCCTCGGCCCATTCGAACCCGCCGCCACGCTCGACCAGAGGGACCTCTGGAACAGGGCCACGAGGCAGCGCCACTGTGTCCTCTGCGGGAGGTCCCAGCCCCGAGTGGGGGCTCCATGTTTGTGTACACCCCCTTTTCTTTCTCTGACCTCTATAACTGGAAAAGTCAGAACCCCCCTTTCTCGAAGGACCCAAAATCTCTGATTAGCCTTATAGAGTCTGTTTTCTCCACCCACCTTCCCACTTGGGATGACTGCCAGCAGATCTTACGCATCCTTTTCACGGCTGAGGAAAGGATGCGAATCTGCGCTTTGGGGCAAAAGGGAGTCCGAGAACCGGATGGATCTCCATCCACTGATCGGCAACGAATTGAGCACTTGTTCCCCTCCTCCCGACCCGAGTGGGACCCTAACACGGATGCAGGTAAGAAGGCTCTCGATGAGTATCGCCTGAGGCTCTTAGATGCACTTCGTGCGGCTGCTAAGAAGCCCACCAACCTTTCCCGAGTGAGTGCAGTGCAGCAGTTAGCCGATAAGTCTCCAGCGGTGTTCTTAGAGCGCCTTTTAGAGACCTATAGATTATATACTCCAATCAATCCGATGGCACCCGAGAACGCACGAGCAATTAATATTGCTTTCGTGTCCCAGTCGGCCCCTGATATTAGGAGAAAGTTACAAAAGCTTGAGGGATTCGAGGGAATGCCTCTCAGCCAGTTGGTCGAGGTCGCACAAAAGGTTTTCAACAATAGGGAAACCTTGCAAGAAACAACAACCAAAAGGATGACTAAAGTACTGGAATTACTTTGCGAAAAAGAAGCCAAGAGGTCAGCTAACCCTAGGAAAAAGGAAGCTCGAGGTAAGCGACCTCCTCTAGACAAAGAGCAATGTGCATACTGTAAGGAGATGGGACATTGGCGTAAGGATTGTCCAAAGTTAAAGCCTAAGACAGAACGAGAGACTAAGGCCCTGTTGTCTCAGAAATGAGGAGGTCAGGGCTCGCCGCCACCCCCCGAGCCCCGGATAACTCTCCAAGTGGGGGGGCAACCGGTAGACTTCCTAGTCGATACAGGAGCTACCTATTCTGTGCTGACTCAACCATTAGGAAAACTGACCAAGCAATCTGTCAATGTGATAGGAGCTACAGGGGGCCGAAAATCGTACCCAAAGGTGACAGCTAGTCTGGCTCGACCTGGACATAGACTGGTCCAACATGATTTTCTCTGGGTCCCTGAGTGCCCGGATCCCCTTTTAGGGCGGGACCTTCTACATAAATTACAGGTGCAAATTGACTTTGTTACGAATGAACCTAGACTGAAGCTAGGGACTGATACCCCCTCAAAATCAGAGGGTATTAGAGTGTTGGCTCTTGTCCCAGAAGGAGAAAGTTACCGCCTGCTGGGAAGTTTGTCTGGTGCACCCGAGTTGTCACGGACTGACTTAGAATTAGAACTGCTGAACAAATGGAAACAGGAGATTCCAGAAGTCTGGGCAGAAAACAACCCTCCAGGGCTAGCAGTCAACCAAGTCCCCCATGTGGTAGAACTCTTGCCTCAGGCACGCCCCATCTGCTTAAGGCAATACCCAATAAGCCTGCAAGCCCGGAAAGGAATTAAAGTCCACATACAGAGACTAAGAGACAATGATATTCTCATTCCTTGTGTCTCTCCCTGGAACTCGCCCTTGCTCCCAGTTCAGAAACCGGGGACGAATGACTATCGCCCTGTACAGGATCTCCGAGAGGTTAATAGACGAGTGCTGACTCTACACCCAACAGTGCCAAATCCTTACACCCTGCTCAGCCTCCTTAATCCGGAGAACACCTGGTACTCTGTCCTGGACTTGAAGGATGCCTTCTTCACCCTGCCTCTTGCTCCGGTGAGTCAACCCCTATTTGCCTTCGAGTGGACTGACCCAGATACAGGGGTAAAGGAACAGCTGACCTGGACACGTTTACCTCAGGGCTACAAGAACTCTCCCACCCTTTTTGACGAGGCGTTAGCAAGAGATCTCTTAGGATTTAGAGAGGAACACCCCGAGATAGTGCTCCTTCAATATGTAGATGATTTGTTGATAGCCTCAACGTCCCTAGAAACATGTCAAGAGGCAACTGAGGAGTTGTTAAAGACTTTGGGACGATTAGGCTATAAAGTCTCGGCTAAAAAGGCTCAACTGTGTCACCAGGCCGTGACTTACCTGGGCTATAAATTACAAGAAGGAAAGAGGACTTTATCAAAAGAAAGAATCCAGGCCATATTACAAATCCCATCCCCAGAAACTAAGAAACAGGTGCGGGAGTTTCTGGGAGCTGTCGGATACTGCAGACTATGGATTCTAAACTTTACTAAAATCGCTCGCCCATTGTATGACTCTTTAAAGGGAGAGACTCAAAAGTCGCTCGACTGGACAGATGAGTGCGAGCAGGCTTTCCAACAGCTCAAGCGAGCTCTGACTGAGGCTCCAGCCCTGGGGCTCCCTGATGTTACTAAACCCTTCACCTTGTTCGTAGATGAACTCAGAGGCATAGCAAAAGGGGTTCTGACTCAAGATATTGGCCCTTGGAAGAGACCTATAGCCTATCTTTCTAAAAGACTCGACCCAGTGGCAGGAGGATGGCCTCCGTGCCTGAGAATTTTGGCCGCTGTGGCAATGCTACTCAAAGAGGCTAAGAAGCTCACTTTTGGACAAAAGATTTCTGTGGTAACCTCCCACAGCCTAGAGACTCTTATTAAAACCCCCCCAGAAAAATGGCTTTCAAATGCCAGAATTCTACACTATCAGGCCTTGCTTCTAGACCCAGAATCAGTAGTTTTCAAGACCTCCTCAGCTCTAAACCCAGCCACTCTCATGCCCGACGATAACCCAGAAAACCAACAGATGCCTCTCCATGAGTGTGCTGACATTCTCGAGTTACAGCAAAACTTGCGAGCTGATCTAACCGACCAGCCTTTTAAGGACGCTTACAATTATTTCACCGACGGAAGCAGTTTCATTCAGGACGGGAGGCGAGTGGCCGGCGCAGCAGTGACCACCGAGAAAGAGGTACTCTGGGCTAAGCAGTTAGAGCCTGGCACTTCTGCCCAAAAGGCAGAGCTCATTGCTCTGACAGAGGCATTAAAGCTAGCCTCAGGAAAGAGGGTAAACATCTACACAGACAGCAGATATGCTTTTGCTACTGTACATGTACATGGAGCTATTTACCATGAACGCGGTCTCTTGACCTCGGCCGGGACTAAGATTAAAAATGCCCCACAGATCCTAGACTTGCTAGCAGCTGTCTGGCTACCTCAGCAAGTCGCTATTATTCATTGCAAGGCACACCAAGTGGGAGATGACCCCATCATCATAGGAAACAATTTGGCCGATCAGGCTGCCCAAAAAATAGCAACCACATCAGAGGGGCCTGCAGAGGAAATGACTGCCCTGATGCTAGTCCCTCAAGCCTTGTCAGAGCCTGTTTATTCGAAGACAGATTTACAGCTAGCATCTCAACTTGGAGCCAAACCCCACACTCCAGGGGGCTGGTATCAGCTGCCCGACAAGCGAGTGCTGTTACCCGAAGCACTAGGACGAGAGCTTTTGCAGCAAGCTCATCAGGCTACTCATTTAGGAGGAACTAAACTAGCAGAATTGTTCAGAGATCGATTTTTCATTCCAAAGCTCTCCAAACTAACTGCCTCTCTGAGCTCTAGATGTCCACAGTGTTTGTTGGTCAACCCAACCAGGAAACCTCCACTGGAAACCACCCGGTATCGAGGAACCTCCCCAGGAGAACACTGGGAAGTGGACTTCACGGATATGGTAAAACCTGGCTTGCAGGGACACCGCTATCTCCTGGTGATGGTAGACACATTCACTGGCTGGGTAGAGGCCTTCCCCACTAAGTCTGAGTCAGCCCTGGTTATAGTTAAAAAGCTACTACATGAGATTATACCCCGATTTGGCCTCCCATTATCAATGGGGTCCGACAATGGCCCGGCTTTCATAGCCCAAGTTACTCAAAAGTTAGCCCAAGTATTAAAAATCAGTTAAAAACTCCATTGTGCCTATCGGCCACAAAGCTCGGGACAAGTAGAGCGCATGAACCGGACCATTAAGGACGCTTTGACTAAGCTGTCTTTAGAAACTGGTAACAATTGGGTGAGCCTTCTTCCCTTTGCATTGCTGAGGGTCAGATGCACCCCATATATATCTGGGATCTCCCCCTTTGAGGCTATGTTCGGGAGACCCCCACCTATAGTTCCTAAGTTGTCAGAAGACAAATTAGCCAAAGTAACTAACCAAGATCTCATTAAGTCCTTACAGAGTCTCCAGCCTGTACTGACCTCAATTCACCGGCTGTTCAGACAAAAACATCCGAACCCCCCCTTGGGAACGCTGCCCCAAGCGTCAATTGAGCCAGGAACGTCGGTCCTGGTGCGACGACACCACCGGGATTCGCTTGAGCCGCGCTGGGAGGGACCGTTCACCGTGGTGCTCAGCACTCCCACCTCCGTCAAGGTAGCAAAAAAGACTGCGTGGATCCACCACACACAAGTCAAACCACTAGAAGCTACAGACGACAAAAAGGGTCCCCGATGGACAGTACAACGGACTGGTAACCCATTAAAGTTAAAGTTTGTAAAGGACTCTCAGCCATAAAATTATGTCTGTACTATGGTATTTAGCTTGGTGCTCGATTATAATTATAAACCCCGGGAATGGGGACTGGATTGTTTCAGACGAGAAAACTAAAAGGGAACTAGGGAGAGCTAAAGGCACGATAAATCAAGTCACCATTGACCTATGTATACTTTTCAATGGGATAATAATTAATGATGACAGCCCAACTGGCAGGGTAGGTGGGTCGGTCCACCGTAACCTCTGCTCGGGCCGTGGGCCTAAAGCTCTGCAAGTTATGTTCCAACTCAAGCAGGCATCCCTGTATATATGTCCTAAAAACCAGCCTGACCCCAATTATAATGTGTACTGTGCCTCCGATCCAAAACATCAATATTGTTATTCGTGGTCATGTGTCACAGGAGGCCTAGATGGATACTATAACTCTGAAAAGTATCTCGCTGTCAAGTACATAGAAAACAAAAACTGTTATGGTGTTTATACTTGTAACCCAGTCCAGCTGACCTTTCTAAATCCAACGGATTTTAGGTGGCTGGGGCAGGGACTTACTTACGCTGTTAAAATTTATAAATCTGGACATGATCCTGGAATTAGTATCAATATCTTATACAAGCCACCTAGAAAGCCTCCTGTAGTCATTTACAGGAGAAGACGCCGCCCAGTGACAGCCCCCACTCAAAAGGCACCCATTAATTTCCCACTCAGTCGACCCCGGAGGCACACTCCGACGACTAAAGTGACTGAGGCCACATACAATGGGAGCATTTACCACACAGACCAGCCCCAGATAAAGCTGTGTAAATGGAGGGGGGAAGGGGGCATCCCATACTGGATAGAGATTAGAGTGCCTAGCCTCGATCCAACCTCGATGCAACCTTCAACAAGGGCTACAAAAACTGGTTTGAGAAGGTCTAGACGGGCACAGACTGAGCCCAAAGCCTCCGCCCCACCTTCAATGATAGCGGAAATATTCCAACCTTTGGAAGTAGCAGCTGAGCTACTTAACAGTTCCCTTGATAGCGATTTAAAAATCCCATGCTGGCTGTGCATGTCCCCAGAGCCCCCCTTCTATGAGGGCTACATCACGGTCACTGATAAACTAGCCTCCGATCCCTCTAGATGCAAAATGCTCCTTCCCCAATCGCTATGGAAAGGCACCAGTTTAGAGGGGATAACTGGTACCTGCATATATCATTTTAGCCACACAGCCCCTGAGTATTGCGACCTTTCTCACTCTTATCGCATCACAGGAGCTGGTGACGCTACTCCCCTAATAGCCCCGGCCAGCCATTGGTGGGCTTGTACTTCAAGATGGTTCCCTTGTATGATTTCAAAAAAGTTCGTTGTTGACCAGGATGAGGTGTGTGTACTAACCCAGGTTCTGCCTAGAATCTACTGGCACTCCGAGAAAGAAGGGAACCGGGCTCTCATCTCAGCCAGTCACCAGATCAATAAGAGAAGTCCAGCCCTCCCTATTATGGCTGGGATCAGTGTATTCTCAGCCCTCGGGATGAGTGCTGCGTCCATGGGAGTTAGCATACACCAATACAATATGCTATCTCAACAGGTAGATAAAAAAATAAAAAGAGTCCAAAATGCTATTGAGGCCTTAGAGAGTTCAATGGACTCATTAGCTAAAGTAGCTCTCCAAAATCGCAGAGGACTAGACCTCTTGCTTGCTGAAAAAGGAGGACTGTGCTTGGCCCTGGGAGAGCAATGCTGCTTGTACGCCAATAAGTCTGGGGTAGTTAGACAAAACTTAGCGGAACTCCAAAGAGGCATACAAAAAAGAGAGAGACTAAGACAAAGAGCTCTAGGGTGGGCGGAGCAAATGTTCTCCTTCCCACCGTAGATAACCAACATAATAGCGACCGTAGCCGGTCCTATCATTGTGATTCTAGTGCTAGCCACTTTGGGCCCCTGCATAGTAAATAGGCTGACTACATATGTCAAGCGTCAGGTACAAAGTATAAAATTAATGATGGTCAGACAACAAGCGTATGAGCTTGTCCCCAGCAGACCTTAAGTACGGCCAAGGATTTGGCCCAGAAGTCACAACATCAGAGGGGAATGTTGTACTCTAAGAAAGTAGCTTCATCATTTTGTGTATTATAGCAAACCTGTACCGCGGCTTACTAAATGTTTTCTTTTCTTAACTGATATGTTAAGTGACCCAATTGATATGTTGAGCAATACTCTCCCCTGTAAAGAATTGCAAGAATTTCACTTAATTGAAATGTTAATCACGGAGCGGCCCTCTACAAACAAGAAGAGTGGTGCTAAAACAAGCTAACAAGGGCTGTTAATCACGGGTAGGCGCCTCTAGTCTTCGCTAAAGAACTAAAGAAGACAAGAAGGCCCACTAATTTACACATTGTTTGAAGTAGTGTGTTTATATGCAGGGAGATTTGCCCATGAGTTTAACCTTTTTACCTAACCTTAGTTACTCTTCCCACAAGATAGATACTCGCCGTTTTCCTGTTCTGTAGCGCGCCTTATTGCCTCCCCCCACCCACCTATCTGGGCCATAAAGAATTTGGGTTTCTGGTGACCTCTCCCCGACCTGGTGATGATCTGTCATAAAATGAGCCTGCCCCAATTTTAAGAACTGTTTAGCTTCAAAGAAATTACCGGAAAATACTGTGGCCCAAACCCCGATCGGTGCTTTCCTTTTGTTCTATATGTACCAATGGGTTAGATATCAGATCTTTGTAAAACTTAAGTTCCAGCATCTCATAACTCGTGACCCCTTCGCACTCACTGGCGAAGACAAGCTGTCCTAAGATAATTAACTCTCCACTTTCTTCCCCAAATATTGCTGCAGATGTGCCACTCTGAGATAATGTCAGTCTGCAGGATGGGAGTAATTTGAGCAACACCAGGAACTCCCGGGACTGTCAGAGCTAAGTGGACAACAATACAGTTTCCAGATGCGGGTCAACAGGTTTAATGGCCTTACAGGTTTCCTCCCCACTTTCCCTTACTTTTAAAAACCCCTTTCCCCAGTCTTGGGCGCGCAGTCTTTGGTTTGATCTAGGAGAGACTGTGCCGCCAGGACTGGCTCAATAAAGCCTTTGCCACTTAAGTTTTGGACTCTTGTTTCCGTGGACTTTATACCGGGGCCCACGTTATAACAGTATGGTCTTATGTATTTCTATTTTTTAACCTATCTGATGTTCAAGCATAAAGGAAATAATAACCAGGCAGTTTACAGTAATGCTTATCTCTAACAGATGTTTAGATGAATATCATTTTAGAAAAAGATATGTCTATGTAATTTTATGTCATTTTAGTATTGCAACAAGTCAAAATTACATTCTTGATTTTGGGACAGTTTTACTTACTTTTTCATATTTTCACACTCCCGTTTCCAAACATTCCACTCCCTTAAACTAAATATTCTGCAAATAATCCAACAAATACAAGCATAAAATAACCCTGAATGTTCAAAGAAGAAAAATGAACTCAGGACTTGCGGATCATCATGGTAGTGTTTCCTGGTTATTCTTTATATTTTTGTATGTTTTGAAGTGGGGGTACCGGAGAAATTTGTAACTTAAAACTGCAAATTGATAAAAACAAATGTGACCACATATAACATTGCTCTGGCAAAAGGATCAGAAAAAAGACATTTTGTTGAAGACATTAGCAGATGATATACACCCTAGCACAGGGTTGGTAGTTGATGCACACACACTTGAATGAACCCTGCCAGCACTCATCATCATGGTAACAAACATGACTCTTAACAATAAGAAAAAAAAAATATAGTCACTTCTTTGGATGAGAATTGTTTCTCTGACATTGTTTTCCAGTCCCTTGAAGACAAAAACAAGATGTTTACCACTATTATCCAGTACCTAAATAATTTAGATGTACATTTTGATTATTTATAATCTTATTTAATGATTATATCTTTTAGAGATGATTTACATTAATGGTCACACAGATTGTAAAACACTTTCCTTATTTTTGGAATACCGTAATTTATTACATTCTGTATTTGATGCATTGTACTTTGTTTTGGTATAATGTCTTTTGAAAACTTTAGCAAAGCTTATTTTCAGTTTACTCCAAACTTGTCTTTAGATAAAAGATAAATTCTAGTCATGCTTTTGAAATAATCTTTCTTTTAAGTTATAAAATGTTTCTAAACTTTGTTCCTTTCCTTCTTTTGCATTGATTTATTTGTTCAAATTAATTCTTATATATCATTTTTAAAATTTGGATCTTCTCTTATGTTTTTATTTACTATAATGCTATACTTGCTGCTAAGTACATTTAAATTTATATTTTGTAATATACTAATATTAAAATAATATTTTACACTGTTATGTATAGTATTCTATGGATATTAATACATCATTAATTAGTAAAAATCTAAATCACAGTGAAAATGATTACATAAATAACAAACTTCATTTTAGGAAAAATTTTCCATTAATATTTATTATCCTATGTCACTTTCTACATATCCTGATCTATGTATTTATATTTAAGGTAAAAGGTATTTATGACTATTGATTTTCTGTCTTACTTAAATATATAAATTTACAATTAAATAAAATGATGAAAACACAATGATACATACTTATGCATTTATGTTCTAAGTATAATAGAATATTAATAAATTTATATTAATATGTTTGTACAGGTTGTATTTAATTACATTTTACAAGGGTTATTGCCATATATGAATATTTGTATGTTTATAAATTAGCAATACTACAGTATTCACAGTTGGATATAAAATATTTTATTATTTTGTATACAGATACACCACCCCTAAATTTAGATTATTATAAAGCATATCCATGGAACTGGCCAAAGAATTGCTTTTTTATACTAGAAAATCTATTGATATGAATTTTATACATATCTATTGATATGAATTTTATAATATTGCTAATATGCTTTTTCTAAAATGTACAAACCACATAAGACAAATCAATAGAAAGTGGACATAAAATCCAATGGAAAGGAATACAAACAGATTAGAGATTCTGCCTCACTTTCAAAGG